AGTATATTAATAGACTTCAGGAAAAGGCTCAAGAGCTTCTTCTTTATAAAAATTAATATGATATTGCGAAGCAATGATGGCACAGAGTGCCGAATCTCCGATTCCCCTTTGGGTCTTGGATTAGTTGACGATGCGATCAATTTTTTATCATCACTCTAATATATATGAATGACGACGTGATCAAATTTTTATTGTCTTCTAGCTATATAAAAATATACACCAAGCTAAAGTATATAAAAGTGCTATAAAATATAGCAGGATGACAATTAAAATGATTTTTAAACATGATTTCATATAGGGGTGTGAAAAAGTGTGCCAGAACTCCCCTTTTCACCCTACTCATACAAATTTTATTCGAAAGTTCTTTACAGAAAGAATTTATTGGCAACTGCGTATTTTTTTTTTTAATAAACAAATTAACTATAAAAGGCAATACTATACAAATTATAAATTCTTTTAATCAATCCACAAAAGGCAATATCATACAATCTTATTTGCTGTGACAAATTTTATCTTGTTTTTTTAATCAATCTACAAAAGGCAATCTCATACAATTCTTATCTGCCGCAATCTCTTATAAATTTTTGAAATAAATTTTTATTTTTTAAAAAAAATTTTATTGGTGGTTTTATTTATTTATTTAACTAAAAAAAAAATATTAAATAAGATTACATAACTGTTTCAATTGCTTCTTAAAAAGAATTTCTTGGCAAACTGTGTATTTTTTAATAAAAAATTAAATCATAAAAGGCAATCTCATACAATCTCATCTGCTGCGAGAAAGTTCTATGAGAAATTCTTTAATCAATCCATAAAAGGCAATCTCATACAATTTTTATCTGCTACTGCAAATTTTTTTTAATCTCATACATATCTTATCTATGACCATGTTTTGTCAATCAAAGTTCTTTTAATTTTTTAATCAACTCATAAAAGGCAATCTCATATAATCTCAATATGATCAAGTTTTAATCAATCTACAAAGGCAATTTTTATCTGTGAGAAAGTTCTCTTATCTTTTTGAGAAAGTTTAATGTAGGTTATAAACTAGAAAGAAATTTAGATCAATTTTCAAAAATATATTGTTCGAAAAGAAATAAAAGTGATCTAATTTTCTTCGTAGCGATATTTTAACAATCAAAGTAAAATTTACAAACAATTTTTTTTTAAAATGTTTCCAAAAATCTTTGTAATTTTCTTTTTTCTCTGTGTAATCTTTGGTTTGTTTCTTACAAACCTTCTTGAAGGCGAATACCATTTTGATATCTACCAAATTTTTAATAAAATTCTTTCATCAAAAACTTTTTTTTGGATCTTTGTAGTTATTATTTATTTAGTAACTACAAGTTTAATTATTGTATTATATTCTTTTTGGTTTTGGAATTCGTTAATAAGAACTTTTTCAGAACATTTTATATATTAAACGAAAATAAAACGGTACTTCTTCTTGAAAACTGCTTACATATTTGACGAGAAAAATTTCTGTCTTCCTCAACTGACAAGCCAATCGTCTTTCGAGAAACGTTACAAACTTTGTTATATTTTCAAATTACTGGAGAAGATTTTATACCTTTCTCACGACAAGCAAGGCATATCTTAAAAAAATAAGAATTTGGTCGAAGAAATTTATTGAAAACGAATTGAACGAGAAAGAACATTCGTAATGAGAAACATCACACAAACAACTTTGAACAATTAGCTTCTTTATTGAAGCTGACAAATTTGATACAATTTGTCACAAATCGGTGACTCCGAAGAAACGTTGATAAATAATGAGTTATTCAATAATCCATTATTAAGTAAATATTAGGCTATTTTTAAACAATTAAAAATCAATTGTTTTTAATTTTGCTAGAATTATGGCAATCTTAACTTTTATTATTAAAAATTTATTTAGTTAATATTTACAGATTTATTATATGTAATTATATTATTATTTTGAAACTAATATGCTAAATATTTTTTGTTATATTCTTCGAGGTTGGCCCAGCTCCACAAATATTTTACATTATATTTTTTAACATATTCATTAACTTCTAACAAATATTTATCAATTATTTCAACATTTCTTTTATTTACATCTTCTAGCAGATCTAATGTATCATTAATATAATTAAAATAGAAATCTTCTTCCCAACCGTAAAATGTTGACCTTATATAAAATTCAATCCAAGATAAAATATTGTTTAGCCTTTTGTGTTTAGTGTCATGGTAAATTTTTAATGAAGTATTAATTAAATTTTGTTCAACAAGATAGTCTCTAAATTCTTTATAACTTGTAAATATAATATATTCCGTAGTTTTAATTTCTTCAATAAATTGTTCTTCTTGTTCAATCGTTGGTGGTAAGGGGCTTTGAAAAAAGTCTTTATTATTGACAATTAAACAAGACGACCAATTTTTTATCATCTTGAATATAGTTTTCCCAATTATTGTCAAATGTTTTTTGTTTTTTAAATGATGATTTAATTTTTTCAATAAAGTTTTTAATAAAAGGCATTTTGTGAATTATTCAAGTTTGTAGATTTAATCTGATAGATTTTAATCTGACGAATTTGTAAAGTCTTTATATAGATAAAAAACTATAAAAGACCATGGTAATAAAAATTAATAACTTTTAAAAATGGAAATCTGTTTTTTAAATGTTTGTCATTTGATCAAAAATACTGAATATAAATTCTCATTCACAAAAACTAAAGATACACAATCTACGAGGATAAGAATTTTAATTTATAAAAAAGATGTGCCAGTCACAACGCAAGAAGCTAAAGATAAGGGTTATTCATTTGTGATAACTTCACGAGAAAAAACAAATTATGAAGCAACTAGTTTTATTGTTTTACCGCCACAAATTTTAGGGATAAAGATTTTTTACGAACAAAAACTTGTTTACGAAAATAATAGTATAAATTTTTTTATTAAAGAATCGATTAGAGAAACTATTCATACTGAAGTTAGACTTAAACCTGATTAAATTTTTTAAGAGTTAAAAAATAATATTTCTTATTTTAGAAAAATTAAGATGAAAATTTTAGCGTGATTAAATGTTTATTTTAGTTATCTGATGTAATAAATAAAATTGTTAGAAATTTTTACATAAACCAATCAAATTTAAGATAAACAAAAAAACTATAAAAGATACCATGATCAAAATATTTTTACGTAATTTTTTTAATGATCAAATATTTTACGTAAATTTTGAATGAAAATCAAAGTTAATATATTCGGCTCATGCTCCTTAAATTTCCAAATCCAAATCACAGAAATGGTAATTATTAAATTGTGAATTTTTAATTACTGATAAACTTTAAAAGGAAATATTAAAAATTTTAACGAACCAATCAAAATTATTTTCATTTTTTATAAAGGGAGAAAAATTTACTATTCTATGACCAAAACCTCAATTTTTTAACGAAATGCCTAAAGAAAACCGAGATCACAAATTTATCGCTGAAAACCCTTATTTATCATCTTCTAAAAATAAAAACCAATGGTTAATAAGTTTCGATTTTTACAAAAAAGAAAAACGTCTTCATGAACAAGAATGAGAAGAACTTAAAAAGAAGATTGAAGAAATCAATGAAGCATCTCTTCAAAACATCAATCGATTACAAGAAGTTATCAATGAACAAAATGACTTACTTGACAAATTATTTGAAGAATTTAATTGGATCGAGAATTTCTACGGCCCAAGTTTTCAGTACGCGAAATGGGCCTATCAGAATCAACTGCAGGTTGATTCATTCGATTCACTTGAATAATATCAGAAAGAAGACGAAGTTATTGATGATGAAGAGATTTATTTAGATAATAAAGTTCCAGTTAATTTTATTGAAGAAGATAATTTTAATTATTCTGAATTTTTATATCTTTCTGATGATGATCCTTTAAATGATTAAATTAAAATAGTATTTCAAACCAATTTTGTACTACAATTCTATAAATAATTTTTATAATCGAATAAAACTATATAAAAGAGAGTTTTCACCTTTGTGAATTACTCATAAAAATGGTTAACCAAAATCAAAGATTTTTACATATCATGTCAACTGTATACTATTGTGTTCCTTGCTTGACACGTTTCAAATGCAAGAAAAACATGACCGAAAAAGAAAAACTCGAATACGAACAAGAGTATCTACGAACTGGCACTGTTCCTATATGCGACAAATATAAGAAACAACATTGGCGATACAAACTAACATCCTGTGATCAATGCTATAAACTGAACGAATGCAACGAGATTACATGTTCTTATTGCAAAGAATCTAAAATCAAATGCCAACACATTTTGCCAAAGACAAAAGAGGAATTTTCTGTGTTGGAAAAACTTGGTTTGACATACGTTTCCGGTCAGTATAAAGCGACCAATTCAGAAAAATTACACGAACAAGCTTATTTTCAATTCGATAAATGCCAAACTATAACTAGCATGAAGAAATTATTCGGTCACAATGCAATGAATTTTCCTAAATTTTTGAATAGCGATTCGGATCAGAATCGCGACTACAGCCAAAAAAATAGAACCGATGCAAAGATCAGAATCGTCGAAAAAAATGCCGTTGTGATTTTCAGGAGAAGGAAAAAATTTGTAACGTATGCAATAAAGACTGTATAGACAAACGTACTTTTGCTCGTTGGAGAGCCTTAGAATTATCAAGCGGTGAAAATGGCTTTTGGGCCTTTGGTAACTATCATTACTTAGCTCTTTCAAATGAATTAAAAGGTTCTGACGAAATTAATGAGAAACGTCTTGAAGACATGAAACGAATCGATCATATCATAGAAAACAATTTAACTATTGAAGATATATTAAAAAACAAAAAAGACTTATTGCCTCGTAGCTGGTTACGAAGTTTAAAGGATTTAGAATTTCTTCTTAAGAAAGAGAAAAAAATTCGTGAAGTAAATGTGAAAAGATTTTGGTGTCCTTGTACAATTTATATGTTTGGACCTGGTGGATCAGGCAAAAGCGGTTTGGTGCAAAAATTGTTTAGAGAAGAAATTTATTCAAAAACACAAAAGCAGAAGAGTGGTTCAAATTGGTGGGATAATTATTCAGGTCATGATATAGTTTTTTTTTTGATGAATGGTATACTTGTTTGTCATGGAGGGACATTGTAAAGTTATTGAATGATACGGATGAACGTGTTGAGATTAAATACAAAGGTTTTACACCTTTTCTAGCGAAATATATCTTTATGACATCGAGGAAAGCTCCTCAAGAAGCATTCAATTTTGGAAATGGAAATGTTGTTGATAATGCAACAGTCTATTGGGATTTTGGTCAGTTTAAACGAAGATTAGATTTTGTGATTCAGTTTACTGGAAATTGGAAGGACCGAACGACACAAATCTACTTTCTTAAAGGTTTTGAAATAGATTTTCGAAACATGAATTGGAAAATTGAATTTGATAGAGGTGAATTTTCAGACGATCAAATAGTTGAAAAAATTAAAACATCAGGTTTTAAAGATGGAGAAATCATTTTCGATAATGAAAAAGTTTTATGGCATCAAAATTTTCCAGAATTTAAGAAAAATTATTTGAGAGATTACCCAAACAGCAAACCTTTATACGAATACAAAATGAAACTCGAGAATCCTGATGAAACAGACAATTTAGACTATGATTCACAGATAAGTGAATATAATTCAGATGATTTCCAATATACAAAAGAGAGAAAATTAAAAAATAAAGCTAATAGAAAAAGAAAAGCTGAACTTCAGTTAGAGAAAACAGTTATCAAAAAAAATAAATCATAAGATTTTATTTAAAAATAAACTAAATGGTTATTGGATATCCATTTTTGTTCCCAGTCATTTTATCATATTCTAATTTAAATCTGATCGCTAACTGTTTTGCTTGTTCAAAAGTCCTGTTCTTTGTAATCCGAAAATATTTTGCTTTTTCTTTATCTTCAAACCATCTAAATCTCCAAGTTTTATGATATTTATTAAAATTAACTCCATTGTATCCTGATGAATTATGTTTTCGTAATCTACAATTTAATTGATTTTCTTTTGATGTAGTTTCTCGTAAATTAATCTCACGATTATCAAGACCATTTCTGTTTATATGATCAATCATTTTCCATTCAAGATGAATCAAACGATGAAATAATAAATGTTTTCTCTTTTTTTCATTAGTGGAGGTTGAAATATAATATGTATATCTATTTTTGTTTTTATCACAAATCCAAGTGTATTTTTTCATTATACCATAATTTTTAATATCAATCAGAAATATAATATCTGGTTTCTGAGTTTCAACTTTGAAATAATCGATTTCATTTATCGATACTGCTCGAATCCGGTTGTAAAGTTTATTCTTATGAGAACCTTTTCCCTTTTCACCAAAAGTCCAAAACGTTTTTATTGTGAAAGTTGTATGAATTTTTCGCCATGACGAATTTTGAGATTCAGCCTCTAAAAACAATCTTGTTGATTCGAGCATTTTTTTAATTTGTTCGTTTAATATTTTTTTTAAATAATTTATTTTAAAAATTATAGGATTATCTTTAAGATTTAAAATTCTAACCTTTTATAGAAATTACATATATTGATAATTTTATTTTAAATATTACAAATCTTCATAACCGGTTATGTATTTAAAGAATTTACATTTGTAACAAGAGTAAAACCAATATAATTTATCTTTAGATTTTCTAAACGTTAGAGATGATTGATTTTGATTTATACAATTACATTTTTCAAAATATACTATACGACTCATGTAGTATAATTTTAAATATTTGAAACAACCAAAGTTAATAACAAGATTACTTATAATTTCATTATTTTTT